TAGGTGATCTCAAAGGCCTGACCCACTGCCCCCTCCCCTGGCCGCCCTAACATGGACACTGAACACTCAAAGGACTTCCACTAGCAGAGGCGCCCTCTGCACACACAGCAACCAGCCTGATGGCTTCTTTCTCTTGCCTTCCCAACAGACACTGCATTCTACAATGCAGGCAGCATCTGCGTACAACTTCCTCTGCAGTCCCACAATGAGCCTGTGCCCTGTGGGCTGGTTCCCCACACCCCTCCTGGTGGGAGCACGGAGCATCCCAGCCCTACTCAACCCACGCCCCAAACTGACTCCATGTCCCTGCCCACTGGCGTCAGATCCTGTGTACCCTGGGTGTCTGTCACAGTTCTCTTGAGGCAGATGCACAAGCTCTGTGGTAACAGCTGCGCAAACTCCCTCTGCGCGCGGCCCACACTGAGCTGCCCTACACGCTGGCTTAGAGCATCCATCCATCACACTGGATTCCTGACCAGAGACCAGGTGAGGCCCAGAGGAGCCCAGCAGCAGCCCCACCATGCAGTGAGCTGCAACTCCACGTGGCTGACACCCTAATGTGAGCTCAGAGGTCTCCACCATTGCATGTTCACGTCTGGGTGGTTCTGTTCCTTCCACTCTATGCAAGACCTTTGATTTGTTTCTAGACAAGAGAATATGGCAAATGTGACACAGTTCTGCAGGTGTAAATAAGGTCTCAAATCAGTGCCTTTGGAATCAACAAAAAAGAACATAGCAACCAAAAAAAAAAAAAAAGTATCCTCGCACGCGCAACCTGACCAGCTCAAAGTAATTATTTCGTGATACGAAGGACTTTACCAGGGAAAAACGATCAAAATCAGGACAACCACACAGCAAACAATCACCCGACTACACTGAACTAAACCAACAGACTATATATGGATATCTTGAAACAGACGCTGATAGAGCAACACACACAGGACATAAAAAACTAAACAGCACAAGATACTATAAAAACAAAGATCATCCCCATGCCTCAGCCTCCCAAGCACTGGCAAAGAAGCCAGGCACCAGCCAGGACAAGTTATTGAACAAGAAAACTAATCACAATTTACTTAAAGCAGATCTAAAACCAAAAATACTAACAATGAAATACATAAAAAAAGCCACCATACAGGACACAATACCACCCACTATAGTGCAGCCGGCCCATAAACTAGAAAGAAACAACCTGAAACAACCAGAAACGAGAAAGGAAGAAAGCACTAGAGGGCATAAGGAACCAAGTGTACAAGAGAATGGATTAGTACAATATACAAAACATTTGCCATTTCTGTTGCTTTCCCATTATTCCTAATATTCAAGTTTATAATATCTTGTTCAAGAGTAAAACTAATAACTTATTTAAAGGAGGTCTTGAGATCCTCAGGCAAAGACTCTTAGTAGTATTACATCATCTGATAGTTTCTTTTCTCTCTCTTTTTTTTTTTTTGGTTATACTGGAAATTGAAACCAGGGTCTTCACTCTAAGCTATATCCTCAACATTTTCTTGTATTTTTCATTCTGAAACAGGGTCCTACTAAGTCACACTAACTTGCTCATACTGGGCTTAAGGTTGTCATTCTCCTTCCTCAGCTTCCCAGAGTGCTGGGATTACAGGCATGCACCATCATGCCTAGCTTTTATTTTTGGGGGGTGGGGTGGGGTGGGGATGGGACCTAGGGCCTTGTACACACTAGGCAAGCACTTGAGCACTGAGCTAGACACCCAGGTTGATGGAAATCTTTTAAAGAGGCCTCTGTAAGGCGCAGATACTCCTTTTGCCAGCTTCATGAATCAGCCATGTGGGTGGAACTACAGCTACCTTCTAGGAGCTGTGGCAGGCATCTAACTGCAAAAACAAGTTCTACAGCTGTATGGAAATGCATTTTGCCAACTACAAGAGTAAGTGGAGAGATAGCATCTTCCCTAGTTAAGCGTCTCTGAAAGCCAGATTAGAATGCAGCCCAACCAATACCTTGACT